CCTTTTAAATACAAAAGCTTCTGTTAAGAAAAAAAAGTCTGATCCCACTCTTTTTGCCATGTTCCGCCATGTTGCCTTGGTAGCAGCAGCTTCCATTTTCCTTCACTCAAACCGCAACACTGTTGGTGTCTAATGTTGTTTTTTTCAAATTCCGCTATGCCATGGCAGCTATTTGACAACACTGATAGTACATGATCTTTACTAAAATTGCAGTTCAACTTGTGTGTAGTTATGAATCACATTTATTGCGCCATGTGTTACTGTATCTTCTAAAGATTTTATCATTGCTTGTGATGTACTACACTCTGCAAAATCAGTTTGGTCTAATACAGAGACCTTTTTGCTTTCAGGCTGTGGCAAACTCAACATCAGCAACATTCTTACGTGTTGTTGGTAGTGAATTGATACAAAAATATTTGGGAGATGGTCCAAAACTTGTGAGGGAACTTTTTCGAGTGGCTGATGATCTTTCCCCTTCTATTGTCTTCATTGATGAAATTGATGCAGTTGGTACAAAGAGGTGAGTTGAACTCAACTTTAGGAGTTACTGGGTGGTATGAATTTTTCTGTCCTTTCTTGAATGTGGTTTGTTGTTTTTGTGAGGGTAGTGTGGGACTGGTGGAGGAGTGATATCTTGGATCACTTCTTAGTATTATATTCTTGTATGCTGTGCAGGTACGATGCTCACTCAGGTGGAGAACGTGAGATTCAAAGGACTATGTTGGAGTTGTTGAATCAGTTAGATGGTTTTGATTCAAGAGGTGATGTAAAAGTGATTCTTGCAACCAACAGAATTGAAAGCCTTGATCCAGCTTTGCTGCGACCTGGTCGAATAGACAGGAAGATTGAATTTCCTCTCCCTGATATCAAAACAAGGAGACGTATTTTCCAGGTAGGCATGACTAATTGGTAAAAACAACACTCCAGATTATGTTTTTCCTATTCACTGTGATATCTTAAATTCTTAATATGCATATTGTGCTTAATCGTATAACTAAAAGGTCTTATAATTATGAAATTTAGATACACACATCAAGGATGACATTAGCTGATGATGTCAACTTAGAAGAATTTGTTATGACTAAGGATGAGTTCTCTGGAGCTGATATAAAAGCAATATGTACTGAAGCTGGTTTGCTTGCTCTCCGAGAACGCCGTATGAAGGTTAGAAGTAACTTCTATATTTTTGTACAATTATTGGCCAAAACAATGTGATCCTGTGGAAATTTGTTATGGTACCTAGTTGTTGTTTGAATTATGAGTAGTGCTGATAAGCACAATTTTATGAGATACCAAACTTTCTCAGCCTAATTGTGAATGAAAGTGGCAGGAAAAAATTGGAGAGGGTTGAGATGCTAGAAAATTTTTTAGGAAATGGAATTGGAAAAGAATCCCCTTAAATCTATCTTATTTAGAGAGAAAGTACACACACACAGTATCAGAGTAGCCAATCATAGTGCCGCTGTCGTGCTGTGGTGGAGCATCACACCTACCGGCTACTACAAGGAACTCAGCGCCGCGTGGACAGTAGCTGACCAACAAGTGGTGTTGATCTGATTCAGTCCCATCCTTCTTCCATTAGTAAGCCATTTTTTAGTGTTACTTCAGAACCATTTTATGGTTAGAAACCCTTTTTACCTTGGACAAAACCCAGTTGCCCCTCCCCTCAATTTTCAGTCCACATGTTTTCTGTTGCCCTTCTGGCCAGCCATGCATTTTCTGGCCAAGGTCTGAACTTCAATTTGCGGTCCCTGTCCTTCCTTTCCTGTGTTTCTGTTTTCCTCTTCCGTGCTCTGGTTTTCTTATCCCCTGTTCACATTCCTTGTGGTATGATATAATTGTCCCAATCAGTGTTTTTATCTCAGAACTTCTTACATAATTTCTTTCTTTATTTATTTAATTATTTTCCCGTTTAATCAGTGTTTTTTTTTTCTATCTCTATTTTCACTTCATTTATATATATATATATATATGGGTAAAGTGTGTGTCATTTTAAAGGATGTAAAGTTGTGTCATTTTAAGTGAGAGAAAGAGATAGATAAAGGAGGAGAGAGAGTGGACAAAAAAAAATAAAGGTGTGGGTCTCACCTCTTTGTGAGAGTGAAAGGATGTAAGTTGTGTCATTTAAAATGACAAACACTTTTCCCTATATATATATATATATATTGTAAAGGTGTGGTTGATTTGACGTGAGTTAAAGTTGATGACTCCTTTGTTACTAATTTGTTTAGTTATGCCTTAGATTAATAATGATTGTCTTTAAATTTTTATTTTTCAGAATTTATGTGTAGTATAAATTATATGCATTCTATCTGTATTTTTGGCATAGTAATCATCCCTTTATCCTCTTATCCTGCCATAGTGCTTTTGGGGATGGCCACTCGATGCTGCCATTATGGTTTTAATTTTTTGTGTTGTGTTAAACTAGATTTGTTATATTTAGAAATCTGTGAATGCCATCTTAACACCTTAAATACTATAAGGGCTCGTTTGGTGGTCAGGATAAAGAGGACAGGATGGGATAGGCTATCATATCCTACTCTTATTATCCATTGCTTGGTGAACCAATAGGATATGATAAGTTTATCCTGGCTCATTTTATCTTGTCTGAAGTAGGATAAGCTATTCTAAGGGGAAACTTGGGTTAGGAATGGATAGAATAAGATAGCAAATGTCACATCCCTCTAATTCCAAATATAGCTCAATGTTGTTATCCTACAAATTTTGGTGGGCATGTGAGGGTCAACCCTTGCCACCAACCAACCACTGCTGCCAGCAATCGGCCACCTCTACCACCCATTATTGCCATTATCATCGCCACCGATTATCACCATGAGCTATTAGCTACCACTATTGTCATCGGCTACCACCACTGCCCATTAGCCCCCTATAATTTTCACTTGTCACTACTGGCTCCGACACCACCACTTCCACCTGCCACCATCGCACCAACCACCACCACTGTTGTCGTCACCATTGGCCACCGCCATAGCCATCAGTTAATCACCACAACCGCCACCGATCACCGCTTGCTTATCTAGTGCACATCAAACACAGGAGAAGATATTAGCTTATCGGTCATATATCTTATCCTACTTTTATCGGGTCCTCTTATCATATCCATTCCTAACCTATCCAGTCCACCAAACGGGTCCTAAAAAGCAAAAGTAAAAACCAGTAAGTATTGGTGGATGAAGGCCACCTGTTATTCCCTGCCCCTGAGAATAAAGAAATAAAATACAATTTCTTGGCTGTTTCCACTTTTCCCTCTATTACAAATAATCTAGACTCGATATTACTGTTCCTACTATCTTCTTTACTAGAGCAGGATTTCAGTGAATCGAATCTGTCAATTTGCTTTTAATACTGGAGCAAAAGAAATGTGCCAATGAAAGTCAAGAAATATAATTTATTTAGGTCAAGTCAGCAAATTTTTTGATTTAGAATCACGTGGTGAAAATTTCATTGGTGTATGTTGGAAGCACCAAGCTTGCTTTTGTAGATATGCATGATCTTACTTTGCATTTCATTGGGCCAAATTTTACTCTATTTTGACGTGATTTCTATTTTACGGGTCAAGGTCTTCTGCTTTTTGGTATGCGATTTTCTATATTCTATTTTTTTTTGTAAGTAAATTCTATTTTGTTTTTACCTTATTATTTGAGGGATGTGTATATGCGTGTTTTTCCCCTCCTCAATACCCAAATGTTTTTATCTTTGTTCCTCAGGTGACGCATGCCGACTTTAAGAAGGCAAAGGATAAAGTTATGTTCAAGAAGAAAGAAGGGGTGCCAGAAGGACTGTATATGTGATATATCATCCTCAGTTATACCTGGCCGTCTTTCCTTTGTTACGGTCGCTTTCCTATTGTTCTGTGAGCAGATGTTATTCGTTTGTGTTTTGAATTATGTATGTTAAAATGGGATTATAATCTCGACTAAAGTTCAGTATAATTTTCTTTAATTTCAAAGATCTAGGACAATTTTCCATGATCATGATATTAACTAATTACCTTTTAAGATTATTTCTGACTTGCCTTCCTAGTTATACAATAGGCTAATTGTCGTCTGATCTGATGGCTTAATTAATGGACATAATTCGTCTAATGCTAAATTTGCTGTAAATGTTATTAGCGGTGCAACTTAGATCAACAGTTCATATTCTTTTAAATCCACCAGGTTAGCCTGTAGCAGTTAATAAAATAATTCAAAATAAACAAAAGCAGAAATCACAGTGGCTATCACCCACCACTAACGCCAATCGACTGTCGTTAATGCTATGCCTAGGAATTGCAAGTACCTTGACATGAACATGCTTCGACATGCAAGATTATCTACATTTTTTAAATAACTGCATTCAGTTCCAACTACGAAAATTGTTTAAATCTAGAAGAAGTAATTTTTAAAAACTGAAAATATGATCTGTTGGATTGAGAAACTGCATAATCCGTTACCTTTTGGTCTTCAGACCAGATGATCCGATCAAAGCTTTTGTTGTCTCAGAGAGAGAAAAAGTAAACTTTTAATTTCTCTTTTTTACTAGTTCAAAGTTAAAAAAATAAAAATCATTCCTTGCATAATTGCAAAGAGGCTGTTTCCTGGATTCGAACTCATGATCTTTTATGTTATGAAGGAACAGTTTTACCACTGTTCCGGTTCGTTCCCTTAACACATTTTTTATACAAGGAAAAAAACTTAAGCATGAGAAAACCAATACAAAAGTGTATAAAAAACTAAGATAAAAAATTAACAGAAATTAAATGATAAAAAACTAAACTAATCAAATAGTAACACACGATTTAAAAGGCAATTAAATGTTGTAGGCTCATAACCACTGACAGAATACAAAAGTGTGATGTTCGGCGTATAAATGTTGTCTAAATTATAATATTTGTAGCCACACTTGTTATTTATTGAGAACATTAATACGGGTACACAAGAATTTTCGTGTTGAACACACTATGGGACTGCATGTCGTAAAGCAACAAATTCCAACGTTAGCTAATTCTGACTCAGCACTGGAGCATTTCTTGAGGACCGTCGCCGTGACCTTGCCCAGAAGACTATTCGAAATGTTTGAATCAAGGCAACAGCCACAAGTAAGAATGACCATGTCCCAACCAAAATATAACCCAGACCACGAATTTTATAGTAAATATGTTCAGGGCTCGCCAATCCCAGTGCCCACATGTATGTGAGCAGCATGCACGTGACTGCAGCGATCATTAAAACGGCCAAGATCCACATTATGGCCTTATTATCAAGCGGAAACCCGCTAATCAAAATCAGCAAAACACAAAGAGACGAAAAGAAAGAAGCTGAGTTGAAGAAAATGAATTTTAGAAAGTCAGGGGACTGAGCATAACCCAAAACAGCAGTGCCAGCTTCACAGAAACCATATTCAATGCAGGCGAAACCATCGGTTGTTGTATCAGCTTGCCAAACACCACCAGGTGGACTAATCACTGACTGAAAAGTCATGGTGGCAATCACAGTGGCCGCCACCATCAAATATTCACGTGTCTTTTTATCTATCCAATTACCTTTGCTTATCAGATACCTTGTGCAGAAGTTCTCGAACTTGTCCAACCACTTCTTGCATCTATTGGGTTCATTTTCTATGTTTTGTTGAGGTTCATTGCTTGGTGCAGAGTTCGGCAATGGTTGTTGTGCAAACCTTTGAACCCCTGCTTCTGTTAACATATGTTCAATTCTAAGGCTGATAGAATCTCTTGGGCAGCGCGTCAACATGTCCAAAGATGTTAAACCCTCCCTATTCAAACTATTCTTTCCTGTACTCATTTCAGAAAGTGAAAGCAAGTATTCGATGATCTGCAAAGTTATATAAAAACCGTGTTACTGTTGTTTAATTTACCTCCCAGTTATTCATTTTATTTATCAAATTACACAACAGTATTAAATTTATTGTCTAAAATTATCTTTCATCATGCCATAATTATTATATTCTTATAAAAAGAAATTGTAAATATTACCTTAATGTGTCTGCGTTTCACTGCTAAATGAAGAATGGTATTATCCTCTTTGTCTTTGGCAGATAGAAATTGATTATCTTCTCTAACTGATTCCACTAAGAGTTTCAAGGCCTCTAGATGGTTATACCGAACGCACAAGTGTAGAATTGAACCATCATCCTTCTCTGTCATCTCCCAAATGGAGTCTGGTTTCGCATTTAACAACTCATTAATGGTTCCAATGCGTCCTCTCATTGCAGCATAATGGAGAGGAAGCTTGTCATCTTTGTCCCTAATCAAACAAGTTTCTGGATTTTTCTGCCACAGAAATTTCACGATCTCAGTGTGCCCTTTATCAGAAGCGAGATGAAGAGGGCATCGTCCTTCTGAGTTCACTTCAATTGCTAAATCGGGATTTATTTCAAGAAGAGCATGACAGAACTCCAAATGTCCAAGCAAAGAGGCTATGTGTAATGAGGTATCAGTGGAGGGATAGAGAACTCTGCTCAGAATAAGAGGGTCCCTTTGGTTCAGTGTGTTTAAGGTACTAACACATCCATTTAATGATGCGTCATAGAGTTTTCTCATTCTATCCTCTAGAATTAGATATGCAAAATCCTCCATTAGAGAAATTTTGGAAATTAAACCAAGTAATATTAATGCTCTTAGTTTTTGTATCTTAAAAGTTAATCTACAACAAATTTTGATGATATATATATATATATATAATCAATTATCAGTGTATAGAAGAGAATTCTTTTTTTAGTACTGATGATATAATCAACGAGTGTATGGAAGAAAAAGACAAAAAGAAGAGAATTCTTTTGATTAAATATCCCAGCTGTCAAGCTGGCTTGGTTCCTTTGATTTGGTTGAGCAAGGGTTGGACTGTTTCTCTTGCCGATGTTCCTACATGTATGCCGACTTGTTGGCTAAAGATATTATCAACAAAAGCTTTGGCCTCTTTGTTTTTTCTTTTCCTCATCAGAATCTGCTGCCTCTTATTGTAGTCGATAGCCTTGATCCTGGAGAAGATCCTGCTCCTCCTTCTGTTTAGTCTTTTCTATTTTGCTGTTTGTTTTAGGGCTTCTCTTTTCTCATGTCACATGAGATATCATCTCTCATGTCATAGACACAATAAGTGGTGGGGCCCACCACTTATTAAAAAAGAAGAAAAAACTAAAAAGATAGCACGAATTTCGATGTCTCACAACATGAGAAAACTATCTCCTATTACATAAGAAAATGATTTCCCTTGTTTTATCATATAACGTGAACTTAATACATATAAGTTATCTGTATTTATTTTTAAAACGACATCACATTTTTAGTTTGAAAGATTAAAAAATTATAATTATAAATTAACACTGAAATAAATTAAAATTTTAAAAACACTATAATTTTCGTCCCAAAACGACGTAGTATTAGGCTTACTGCAGATAACTTATCTACTTTTTCTATCGTTGTTTTTGTTTCTTGCCGTTGTTTCTTTGGGCTTTGGCCCTTCTTATGTATATATGAAAAAAATACTTGTACTGATGAAAATATATTATGTTTTATTAAATATTTCATTATGTTTTTGAAAGTGATTTATTTATGGGAGAAATATTTCTTATGTCATAAATTTTTCATATGCCATAGATTCAACTTTTATTTTAGTTTTTTTTTTTTTAAATGGTGGGCCCCTTTATTCATTCTAGTTCACTTCATTATTTATTTTTGAGTTCAAATAAATGTGTAAAAATTAAATTTAATATTTACTTAATATATTAATTGAAATACGTCAAGTTCTAATATTGGATTAAGCCTATTTCTAAGTTATAATTCTTAAATTCAATCTTTTAATTTTTCAATATTAGATTCTATCTTTAGATCCTTTTTCTAATACATTAAACAATACAAAAATGGCGAGTAACATAAAGCAGGTACTTAAATTAAATGGAATGAATCAAGAAAGAGTAATTTCATATTAACAAGAACAAATCATGTAAGCATTCATCACAAAAGAGTAGAAGATTACATCCTATTCCTAGAATAAGGTAATTTAGCCTTTCATTGCACAAATAAAATCCAAAGAGATACAAGATATCATGAATTAATTCTATCACATAAAATAATGGAGTAGAAGATAAAGTATAATATATGGCTTTTTGACCCTTATAACTCTTTATTAATAATTAATTACCAATTTGACCTTCATTATAAACTATTTCGAAAATTTAACCTCCTCAAAAAACATAACATCAATCTGTCCCTGTTTGATCGTTGACCACCAAGCCTATCCGGATAAACTCCTCCCTACCTGGATATTTTTTTGAACATTTTTGCCTACCCGAATAGGGAAGGGTGTACCCGGGTAATCCATGCGTGAGTCCACATATGTAATTAAGACAATAGGGTCACTTTATATAACATTGTCTGTATCCAATCAAAATTTCAAAGATTTCAAACCATTGCTTTCATGTGCAGTCCTTTCATGGGACTGGTTAAATCATTTCTAGTATAATTTATCTTTCACACTAACCATAAGATTGAAAGTACTACGCATTAGGCGAGCAGTAAAAAAACTAATTACCCATACGAAATCCTAGAAAACATTAACTTGATCTAAACATTGGATTCACTCCTTTCATGCTCAGCAACAAAACGCCTCAAGAGAGGACTACAACTTTAACTCACAACAGACAATATATGCATACAATCAATCCATCCACCGCATGAATTATCCGGGTACACTCTTTCTTACCCGGATAAATAATTCAAGCAATTTTTTAGGTGCAAAGAACAATACTGGGTACACCCCTCCTTATCCGAGTAGGCAAATTTTTTCAAAAAATACCCGGGTAGGGAGGGGTGTATCCGGGTAGGCTTGGTGGTCAACGGTCAAACATGGGCATATTGGTGTTATGTCTTTTGAAGAGGTTAAATTTTTAAAATAGTTTATAATGAAAGTCAAATTGGTAATTAATTATTAATAAAGAATTATAAGGGTAAAAAAGCCATAATATATTGTTGAGATTTTTCCCAGACACTTGCTCTACTTGTCATGATCAATGGTCTCTTCCTTGAAGCTCTCTAATTGTCTTCTTCTTTTTTTATCATCGCAAGCTCCTTCTACTATGGCCTCCACCTCACATTTCTTTTTGTTTTTTGTTTTTAATTATAGTACATGTACCTTAAGTTGTTGGAGAGGTTATACTTATTAATTTTTTTTTCTTATTACCAAATCTTAATCATTTCCGTCAATCTAACAATTATAATTTATTGGATCACACTTATTAATTAATTATTAAATTTTAATAAATTATAATTGTTAAATTGGGGAAAATCAACTGTTAAGATTTGACAGTAAGATATAGTAAAAAAAAATGTAATAAGTATAACTTTTCTCTAAGTTGTTAGATTAGATTAAGGAATCTTCTTTTCAATTGCTAAGAGATATAATAAAATTATTTAGGGGGCGTTTGGCAGAGGAGGAATTTTTTTTATCCGAAAATCACAATTTCCAGGAAAATGATGGGAAGATGAGTTCTATGGGAATGTTACCAAAAAGGTGTTTGGTAGACTAAAATATTCCCGGGAATATTGGATTAATTTTCTTAATGCTATGTTTAGTTGTATTAAATTTTTTCTTGCCATAGAAATCCTAAAATACCACCCCTGGATAGTATTCTTGGATGGTATTTTAAAAAAAATTTACACACAATAAAATCCCGAAAGAATCAGATATCTAAATTATAATATTTGTTGTTACAAACGTGTATAAATGATGGGATCGCTTTACTGCAGACAATGTAGATAAATTATCTACATTAAACCCAAAACGACATTGTTTTAGACAAAAATCAATAATTATAATTTATTTCAAAGTTATAATAGGCTTTCTCATTATAATTTTTTAACCCAAAATAACAACATTATTTTAGGAATGAATTTAGATAACTTATCTGCACTATCAAGAATAAAGCCAATGATATCTAAATTATAATATTTGTTGTTACACTTTCTATTTCTTCAAAACATTAATACGGGTGTACAAGAAATTTTCCCGTTGTACACATTATGGGACTGTCGTAAAGCAGCACAAATTCCAGCGTTAGCTAAATCTGACTCAGCACTGGAGCATTTTTTGAGGACCGTCGCCGCCGTGACCTTGCCCAGAAGAATATTCGAGATGTTTGAATCAAAAAAACAAGAAGAAGTAAGAATGACCATGTCCCAATCAAAATATAACCCAGACCACGAATTCTATAATATATATGATTAGGGCACACCAGTCCCAATGCCCACATGTATGTCAAGAGCATGCACGTGACTGCAGCTATCATTAAAACGGCCAATATCCACACTATGACCTTATTATCAAGCGGAAACCCGCTAATCAGAATCAGCAAAACACAGAGAGACGAAAAGAAAGAAGCTGAGTTGAGGAATATGAATTTTAGAAAGTCAGGGGACCAAGCATAACCAACAACAGCAGTGCCAGCTTCACAGAAACCATATTCAATGCACGAGTAACTATCGCTTGTTGTATCAGCTGCCCAAACACCACCCGGTGGACTAATCACTGGCTGAAAAGTCATGGTGGCAATCACGGTGGCCGCCACCATCAAATATTCACGTGTCTTTTCATGTATCCAATTACCTTTGCTTATCAGATACCTTGTGCAGAAGTTCTCTAACTTGTCCCATCTATTGGGTTGTTGAGGTTGATTGCTTGGTGCAGAGTTCGGCAATGGTTGTTGTGCAGACCCTTGAACCCCTGCTTCTGTTAAAATATGTTCAATTTTAAGGCTAATTGAATCTCTTGGGGAGCTTCCCAACATGTCCAAAGATGTTAAACCCTCCCCATTCAAACTATTCATTGCAGATAGTGAAAGCAAGTATTTGATAACCTGCAAAGTTATACATGAGCCGTTACTATTGTTTACCCCCACCACTTATTCATTTAACTTATAACACAACAATATAAAATCTGTTGTCTTTCCATCATTTCATAATTATATTCTTATAAAAAATAAAAATTGTTAATAGTACCTTAATTTGTCTGCGTTTCACTGCTAAATGAAGAACAGTGTTATCCTCTCCGTCTTTGGTAGATAGGAATTGATTGTCTCCTCTAACTGATTCCACTAAGAGTTTCAAGGCCTCTAGATGGTTATGCCGAACGCATAAGTGTAGAATAGAACCATCATCATTCTCTGTTATCTCCCGAATGGAATCTGGTCTCACTCTTATCAACTCCTTAATGGTTCCTATGCGTCCTCTCATTGCAGCATAGTGGAGAGGAAGCTTGTCATCTTTGTCCCTGATCAAACAAGCTTCTGGATTTGTCAGCAACAGAGCTTTCACTATCTCAGTGTGCCCTTCAGCAGAAGCCAAATGAAGAGGGCAACGTCCTTCTGAGTTCTCTTCACTTGCTAAACTGGGCTTTATGTCACGAAGAACCTGACAGAACTCCAAATGTCCAAGCGAAGAGGCTATGTGTAATGGGGTTTCAATGAAGGGAAAGAGTGAAACTCTGCTCAGAATAAGTGGGTCCCTTTGGATCAGTGTGTTTAAGGTACTTACACATCCATTTGATGATGCTTCATAAAGTTCTCTCATTCTATCATCCTGTAGATTTGGATATGCAGAATTCTCCATTAGAGGAATTTTGGAAATTAAACCAAGTAATATTGATATGCTCTTGATCTTTGTATCTTAATCTTCAACAAGTACTGATGATATAATCAATGAGTGAATGGAAGAAAAAGACAAAAAGAAGAGAATTCTTATGATTAAATATCCCTGCTGTCAAACTGACTTGGTTCCTTTGAGCATTTTACAAAGGACGGCATATCGATATTTTTCACACAAAAAAAAAAAAAAAAAAACTTGTTATGATGAAAGTATATTATGTTTTTGTAAATATTTCATTATGTTTTTGAAAGCGATTTATTTATTGTAGTTCACTTCATTATTTATTATTCAGTTCAAATAAATGTGTAAAAATTAAACTTCATATTTACTTAATATGTTAATTGAAATACGTCAAGTTCTACGATTGGATTAAGCCTATTTCTAAGTTATAATTCTTAAATTCAATCTTTTAATTTTTCAACATTAGATTTTATCTTTAGATCCTTTTTATAATACATTAAAAAAATACAAATATGGCGTGTAACATAAAGCAAATACTAAAATCAAATGGAATGAATCAAGAAAAAGTAATTTAATATTAACACGTACGAATAAATCATGCAATCATTCACATCACAAAGGAGTAGAAGATTACATCCTATTCCTAGAATAAGGTAATTTAGCCTCTCATTGCACAAATAAAATCCAAAGAGATACAAGATATCATAAATTAATTCTATCACAGAAAATAAGTTTATAACCGCAAGCTCCTTCTACTATATGGCCTCCACACCTAACCCCTCTTTTTTCTTTTATCGAATTATATTATATGTTCATTAAGTTGTTAGATTAGATTAAGGAATCTTCTTTTCAATTGCTAAGAGATATAATAAAATTATTTAAGTGCCTTCATTCAACAATTCAATCTAGAGTTCAATCCTTGCACCCAATCAATCAAATAAAAAATGAAAGTTGAATTTAAGCATAAAGTAAAACAAAAAAACGTTATGCATTATACATGTTTCAAAATCCAAAGAATTCTTGCAGGGGGAAAATTAAAAAATATAATAAAATCATTCATATGCATTTACCCAACATTTGAGAGGGTTGCATGATATTTTTTTTTATTTCATTCTCAAAATCCTTCTAGATTTTCAATTCCTTTAATTTTTTTATTAGAATTCTGATCTCAACTGTATTAATTGAAAATATTTGAATAAAGATACTTTTAAATTTTATAAAATAAAAGTTGTCACTCTATTCTCTTTTATTAATAGTAGATATATAAATTAACATTTTTTTAATAATTTTAAGGGTAATATGATTATATAAACACATAACAATGTGTATATTCACAAGTACATTTTAAATTTCATAAAATAAAGCCAGTAATATGTAGAGGATTCACAAGTAAATTCATATCTTGGATTTTTTTTTTTTTTTTTTGGGATTCAGACAGGCATAGTTCGCGGCAAAAAAGCAGGTACATGATATTTTTGTCAATGTCTATAACATATTTGAATATATATGTCTATTTTGTATCTGTAAATAGGGTATAGGCAAAAACGAGTCAACCTGTTTGGTTGGCTCGTAACTCGTCAAAAATGAGTCGGGTTGAGTTGACAAAAAATGAGCTGCTAACCCGAGTCAACTCGGCTCGTTTCAACTAGTGAAAAAATGAGCCAACCCGCGGGTCAAACGAGCCAACTCGCAGGTTGAGTTTTTTTTATAAAAAATACAAAATATAATATTAAAAAATGGACAAAATTCACACATATGTTGTCATCATTTTTCTTCCTTCTCTAAACCTAAGTCCCTAATCTTCTCACATCTCTACCATTTCTATATTGTTCGGTCGTGCTGATTCTGTTTGGTTCAAATATCTTACTCACTTGGTAGCAAGTGGTTATGATTGTTTCTGGATGTTGATGTAAATTTGTTGTGAAGAAAATTCGAAACTAAAATATTTTGCTTTTATTTCTCATTTTGTAACCTTTTGTTTAAGCTAATAGAAGCCACATAACTGGTTCATTAACAGTACAGGGTCATTTAAATAGAATGAAAATGAGCCAACTCGCGAGCTATTTTTGCCAACCCACGAGGCAACCCTAACCCGACTCAGGTCGGGTGGGATTGAGTTTTCTGACTCGTTATTTTTTTCGAGTTGAATACGAGTTGAGTTAAATCGGATCGGGTTGACCCATGTTGCCAACCCTAGCTGTAAATGCTTTGTCTCACTTCAACTAATTAACGAATGTCTTTCAATCATTATCTCAAGAAAAATAATTTGGATGGCTTCGTCAATCATTTTATTCATTATATATTACATTTAATAGTCTTTTTAGTATTTTTTAATGAAATCAATAAAAAATAAATACTTAACAATTTATCCTATATACTATAAGAAGAGTGTATGGATATTATAGCAATTCCCACCTTAAAATTATTCTAATCTTATTTATGGCATTTGGATGATGCATTATAAGCTTTAACATCCAAATGTATATATCTATGCATATATTACAAAAAATTGATGAAATGGAAATAAGTTTTATGTTTGTATCCAAATAATATATTATGATGTTGTCAATACATTTAACATCTCACATAGTTATTTGGGGAATAATTCGTTTACAATTTTTTTTTTATAAATTTTTACAAATTACACTATGTACCTCTTGGAGAATATAGTGTAACCTAGTGTTCTCCCGGGAGAAGATAGCGTAGTTTGTAAACAAAAAGTTTGTAAATATAACTCTTCCCTAGTTATTTATATAATAAAATTTATTTAATAAAGTGTAAGATAAGATTTTATAAATAAATAAAGGGTTTCGTGTGTACCCTTAATTTTAAAAGGATGTAAGTTGTGTTATTTTAGTTTATTTACTCTATATACTTCCGATAGTACATACTTATAACATGAAAAAAAAAATTTAATTTTCCACGTCAACTGATGTGAATGAGAAGAGAGAGAAAAAAACAACTTTTCCTGTTATATCTATGTACTACTGGGAATACATAGAGCAAAAAAAATTAAAATAACACAACTTACATCCTTTTAAACACAAATAATTTTTCCATAAATAAAACAACAGTGTATCAAAAGTAACTAAGAGAGATAGAGGTATTCTTTTATGATCGGTTGCAAAATCCTTGTCAAGACAAGATGATTTCAAGGGCTTTTTTACCCTTGTAACCTTTTATTAATAATTAATTATCAAATTGACCTTCATTATAAACTATTTCAAAAATTTAACCTCTTCACAAAACATAACACCGATCTGCCCCTGTTTGACCGTTGACCACCAAGCCTACCCGGGTACACTCCTCCCTACCCGGGTATTTTTTTGAAAAATTTTACCTACCCGGGTATATTTCTTGACATCGAAAAAATTGTTTGAATTATTTACCCGGGTAGGTAGGGGTGTACCCCGGTAAATACTAAATTGCTTGAATTATTTTGAAAAAATTGCTTAACACTGATCCTATCTAAAAACAATGAAATAATATATTTGAGCATTGTGATCCTTTTCATAAACGGCTATGAAATCAAAATATTAACATAGTAAATTCACCGAAATCAATTATCCAACCAACTAATTTCATAAACATTGCATTATGTCAAACAGGAAAAGAAATCACAAACGGTACTCCGTCTTCTTCCTTCATCGATTTTTCAAGCAAACTCGCCTTCATCCTCGGCCTCAAGCTCAGATCATATTCATCTTCCTGCAAATTCTCATCGATCTCTTACTTCAAATATTTTTCCAACAAAACAAAACAAAATCTAAGAAAAACAAGCTTAAAATATTGAAGAATGTAATTATGATTGAGAAGGAAAACCTGAGAGTGAAAGAAGAGACTGGAACCAAAGAATCCAGCGAGAAAGAAGAAGATGCATATAAGGAGGAGTTGAAGCAAAAAGTGGAGGGACTGAACACAGAGCTGGGAATAGGAGAATCATCAACCACTCAAATTGATCAACTACCTATCCTGATTATTAATTGTTGCTGTATTTATTTTTCTCAGATTCTTATATAACATAGTTTACCCGGGTACACCCCTACGTACCCGGGTAAATAATTCAAGCAATTTTCCAGATGTCAAGAAATTTATCCGGGTACACTCTTCTCTACTCGGGTAGGCATAAATTTTTAAAAAATACCCGGGTAGAAAGGAGTGTACCGGGATAGGCTTGGTGGTCAACGGTCAAATAGGGGCAGATTGGTGTTATGTTTTTTAAGGAGGTTAAATTTTTGAAATAATTTATAATGAAAGTCAATTTGATAATTAATTATTAATAAAAGGTTATAAGGGTCAAAAAGCCTGATTTCAAGAGTTTGTTAAAGAAATAACAAATATTGAGTCAGATCTACATCTAGCAATTTATTAGCACAAATATATAAATTGAGATATTTATAAAATAAGATGTTCGTTCTATGATAATACAGCAAGTCTTAGCATCAAATCAAAATAACACACCACCAACCAAATATATAAACTTTTTAGGAGTTGTTCCAACTTAATCGAACCAACTAGTAGAGTAATTCATGAATGTTGTTGGGCACAAAAATCACTAGAGCATTATCAACCGGCCGGGAGAGTTCTGACTCGGTGGAGCATTTTTGGAGGACCGGTGCCGCCGTGACCTTACCCAGAATACTATTCGGGTTGTTTGAATCAAACCCACAACTCCAAGCAAGAAAGACCAAGCACCAACCATAACATAGCCCAGACCACGAATTCTATAATAAATATGATTAGGGCTCACTAATGCCAAAGCCCACATGTATGTGAGCAGCATGCATGTCACTGCTACAATCATTAAAACGGCCAAGATCCACATTATGGCCTTATTATCAAGCGGAAACCCGCTAATCAGAATCAACAAAACACAAAGAGACGCAAAGAAAGAAGCTGAGTTGAAGAAAATGAATTTTTGAAAATCAGGGGACCAAACATAACCAACAACAGCAGTGCCAGCTTCACATAACTTATAAGTAGTGCAAGCGTTGTTACCATCTTTTGTATCAGCTTGCCAAACACCACCCGGTGGGTTAATCGCCGATTGAAAAGCCATGGTGGCAATCACGGTGGCCGCCACCATCAATTGTTCACGTGTCTTTTTATCTATCCAATTACCTTGGTTTATCAAGTACCTTGTGCAGAATTTCTCTAACCTCTTCCATCTATTGGGATCATGATTTTCCTTTACTATGTTTGGTGATGTCAGTGGTTGTTGAGGTTCATTGCTTGGTGCAGAGTTCGGCAATGGTTGTTGTGCAAACCTTTGAACCCCTGCTTCTGTTAACATATGTTCAATTTTAAGGCTAATTGAATCTCTTGGGGAGCTTCCCAACATGTCCAAAGATGTTAAGCCCTCCCTATTCAAATTATTCATTGCTGTACTCATTTCAGATAGCGAAAGCAAGTATTTGATGATCTGCAAAGTTATAGAACAACCGTGTTACTGTTGTTTAATTTACCTGCCACTCATTCATTTTCTTTATCAAATAAAACAAAGGGAAAGGATATATTTTTTTTGGTACAAGACGGAGGTATCTTCATTCAACTTCTTCCTGTCACCTTGCTCTCAGGGTACAGCCATGTAGGCTAGCCCCTTATTGGAAGGACGGGTGTATTGAGCTTCGTTACCGGAAAAAGGATGAGACTAATCCCCCACTCGAGGAAGGAGGCACATACTCAAGCAAACCCTTTGAGAGCTCAGTTGCCAACTGAGCTACCCTTGGGGGTTAAGGGGAAGAATATATTTACAACCAAAAAAATTTACCATCTTTACAACTAACCTAATCACAGTTGATTTCCGTCAATCTAATTATTATAGTTTATAAAAATTAATAATTAATTAATAAATACGACTCAATAATTTACGATAAATTATAACAGTTATATATCTTTCATCATGTCATAATTATATTCATATAGAAAATTTATAAATAGTACCTTAATTTGTCTGTGTTTCACTGCTAAATGAAGAATGGTGTTATCCTCTTTGTCTTTGGCAGATAGAAATTGATTGTCTCCGTTAACTGATTCCACTAAGAGTTTCAAGGCCTCTAGATGGTTATGCCGAACGCACAAGTGTAGAATAGAACCATCATCATTCTCTGTTATCTCCCGAATGGAATCTGGTCTCACACTTATCAACTCCTTAATGGTTCCTATGCGTCCTCTCATTGCAGCATAGTGGAGAGGAAGCTTGTCATCTTTGTCCCTAATCAAACAAGTTTCTGGATTTGTCAGCAACAGAGCTTTAACAGTCTCAGTGTGGCCTTTAGCGGAAGCGAGATGAAGAGGGCAACGTCCTTCGGAGTTCTCTTCACTTGCTAAACTGGGATTTTTGTCAAGAAGAACCTTACAGAACTCCAAATGTCCAAGCAAAGAGGCTATGTGTAATCGGGTTTCAGTGCAGGGATAGAGGGAAACTCTGCTCAGAATACGAGGGTCCCTTTGGATCAGTGTGTTTAAGGTACTTACACGTCCATTTAATGATGCTTCATAGAGTTCTCTCATTCTATCATCCTCTAGATTTGGATATCCCAAATTCTCCATTAGAAGAATATTGCACATCAAACCAAGAAATTTTGATGTTCTTAGTCTTTGTCTCTTAGAATTTAGTCTTCTATAAATTTTGATGATATATATAATCAATGATCAGTGTAAAGAAGATAATTCTTTTTTGCCATATCCAGCTGGCAAAGCTGACTTTCGAGAATAGTCTACATGAGAGCAAATAAACAAAAGTAACAAGGAATTAACTAAGGGAGAATAGCTTCTGCATAAGGCTATTCTCATGCCAATGATACATCACTTTTGGTGCAATTTTTTTTTTTTTTTTTTTAAGTTAATATATGGTGAAACTCATTCAAAAATTGTGTCAGCTGTAAAAAAAAAATTTTCTCCCATGAAAGGAGAAGAACAAAGACCATTAACTAAATACTAACAATGTAAGGCTAGGATGAAAGTTAATCATTTTTAATTATGTTCCATTATGTTTTTGAAGGTGGGTTATTTGTTGTAAGTCAATTGATTGTATATCTTTGGAGTCCAAATCAACATGATAGAATAAAAATATTACTGTATAAATTTGAAACACATTAAAGCTCTGCGATAGGTTTTAACCGATTTCTAGGTCATTTTAATTTTTGAACTTTTCGATATTAGATTCTGTATTTCTATCCTTGAAAAAATTGAAAAAATGTATGTCATTTTAAAGGATGTAAAGTTATATCATTTTAAATAAGAGAAAGAGATAGATTATGGGAGAGAGAGTGGACAAAAAAATAAACAAAGATATGAGTCTTACTTTTTTGTGAGAGTGAAATGACACAATTTATGTCATTTAAAAGGACAAATACTTTTTCCATACATTAAACAATACAAATATTATTAAGATAGATATAAAACCATTAAAGGCTCCTTAGTTATTAATTCAAGTTTTTGGGTTGAATTAATTTTTTACTTGATATCAAGCCAACGTGACTACATGATTAGTTGGTTACGAGTGTGATCATCATTGTCTCTATTTTATTAATAAAAATAATTAATATTGTAGAGTTTCGTAGCATAGACAAATTGTGCCTAATATATTATTTACCTTTTAAGTCCAATGGTTACTCTATGGGAGAGAGATATATAAAATAATTAATATAGCAGTTCAAATTTTTGGGTTGAATTGATTCTTTATAAATATGTAATTAATATTGACAAGAATAAATCAAGGGTTAAAGACTTGTTATGTCACACAATAAGAATTTCTTCTCCTACATACACATGTATGTGGATTCCACTGAAATTTTTTCTTTTTTATCTTTTCAATGGAACTCATATATAAATTGTGTGTAGGAAAAAAATATTCTTTTGAGCAATCATTTATAGAGATAAAATATAAAATATAGTTGCTCGGACTTTTTCAAGACACTTGCTCTTCTCGTTTTGAACAAAGGTCTCTTCCTTGAAGCTCTCTAATTTCCTTCTTTTATAATCTATGAGCTCCCTCTACAATGGCCCTAATCCGACAGCTCTTTTTTACCATGATTTTATATTCATGTTTATAATATATGTCTTAAGTTATTAGATTGGACTAAGAAATCTTGTTTCCAATTATTTTTTAGTTTTCAAAAATGCTTCTAGATCTTCAACTCCTTTTAGTTTTTTTAATTGGAATATTAATCTCAACTAGAATATAAATAATAATTAGATATGTCAATATGGGTTGAACATGATGGGTCAACCTGTCAATCCATCAAAACGAAACGGGTTGGTTTACACATCTCAACCTACCAACTCGCCCCGCTGGGTTACGGGTCAAAATGGGTTGACCCAGCCTGATAAGTTATTATTATTATTATTATTATTATTATTATGTAATTTTTTATTTGTCACTAAACTTTTGTAATATTCAATTATTTTATCTTAATACTCCCCAAGAAAAAATAAAGAAGAAAACCTTTATTCACGATAAAGGTTTAGCATACATTTAGGCATGAGATTAAGGGAAAAAAAGTAAGGAAAGTGTGAAATGTAAATAAATAATAATGTAAAATTCATAAAATATAACTTATTTTTAATTTTATTTTTCAAGCGAATTGACTCGTTAACCCATCATAAAACAGAATGAGTTAGACTTTTTATCCACATTCAAGAGATAGAATGGAGCGAGTCAACCCATTTTTAATGGGTTGGCAAAGAATCGAGGCCGGCCGATTCGTTTTGCCATTGTCTTCTTCCCCTTTAACCTTTTGCATTTTAAAACTTGATAGTGTTTTGAATCGAATTGTATAAACTCAATTTGTCAAGTACCTTAAGCCTTCCTTACCCTTCCTCTTGTCCCCGTGGTTTCTAAATTTTTAGTACAGCTCTACCCCAAGATTTAGCTTTTGATTATAATACAAATTGTTACCCTCATTAGGCTAGTGTATTAGTAAAAAGAATTTAGAGTGTGCTAATCCCACCTAGGGATGATAAATGGGGCCAGCTTATACATTTCATTTATAACATATAATAAAATAGAATAGGCTCAAATTTTTTTTTTAAATTATTTAAAAAGCAACTCATAGACTTTTTTTACAAAGCCCAACCTATAAGCTATAGGCCGGCACATATCATATATTTATTTTAAATAAAATAATTTTAAATAATAAATTAATAATATTTTATTTATTTTTTTAATTCTTAAATGTCTAATTGACTTAAGTAGACTAATATGTTTATGTCAAACCTTTTGTTTTTTTTTTTTTTTTTTGATAACAAAACCTTTTGTTTTTAAAATGAGGTAACTATTACTCTAATCCAATAATGATTAGAGTAGTAGTGAGATAGCATTGGAATTAAAGTGATAGTAGAAAAAAGTGATAGTATAAATATACTACCTATTTTAAAATATAGGTTAGATCACATCTATAATTTGACCTATATTAAATAACAAACCAAATTAGACTTAAAATATTGAGTTTTATTTTTCTCATGTTGCATGAGACAAATTGTTTCATGCAACACACAAAAAAGTGAGTGGGACCCACTTTTTTATTTTTTTCTCTCTTTTTTTAGTGGGTTCCATCCACTTTTTGTGTGTTGCATGAGACAATTTGTCTCATGCAACATGAGAAAAATAAAACTCTAAAATATTTTATATAAATCTCACCTGTTTAAACCAAAATCTCAATTGACCCGACCCATTTATGTGGACATTAACAAACACGTCTTAGTACATAAGATTTATCTTTTAATTACGAATATTACGCGTTTCCCGCTTCGAAAATGACGCTTGACAGCTATAGAACCCGGTGATATTGAAACAACAATTTCTTTACCTCCTTTAATCTCTTTTTAAAAATTTGTTGTGATTAAAGACGTAAGGGAGATTTTAATTTTTTTTTTTTTAAAAAAAAACGTAAGGGAGATTATAAATAGAAAATGTTGTTAATTGTGATACATCAGTGATTCAGCATCATATATTTGGGGATATATTAATTAGTTCATATTTTATACATATTTGAACTGTATGGTCGGTCACGTTAATAATCATATTATTAAATTAGTTTACAAAGCGCAAGTTACGCACATCACAATTGTGATGTACAAGCTGTTTTTTTTTATTTGAGCAAAAAATTTATGGGTTTTTCTACGACTAGCCTTTATATAATAATGCGTTTCGCTCAAGCACTATTTCTCCATTGTTAATGAGTTGCTGTTTAACCATTTGTTGTTGATGAACGAGGTCCTGAAAAAATACTACTCGAGGATATAGGTGCCATTAATGATGAATAGAATCCAAGGGCAGGGCCCCAGCTTAGAATTCTATGTTGTCAATAAGTATCAATGTTAATAAAATTGACCCGGTTATCAAAATGGTCGGAGTGCTGGGTTACTGGTTCAACCGCATGACCTGCATATATATATATATATATATATATATATATATATATATATATATATATATATATATATATATACTTATTAATTTTTAATTTGAGATACTAGTTATAATTTTTTATTTTAAATTAAATAAATATGAATATATTACCATTAATAAATAAAAATAAAGGTGCACACATGTGAATAGAAGAAAAATTGATACATGAAATAATATGAAAATATAAAAGATTTCAAAATTATTAAATATTTCTTTGTGGGTTTGCAAGAAGAGTGAATTAGATTTGGTCTATTGAGTTCAAAAAACACTGAACACGCCCAACTTTCCAAAACCCTAATATTCCTATTTCACATTTAACATTTCCTCAGTTAGAAAAAAGCAACAGCCGCCTCTGTTGATTTTTCTCTGGTATTAGTCAAAACTAGAAACGAAACCAGCATATAAATGTCACTAACTCGCGAAGTCCAGCCGCCTCTGTCTCATAAGCCCTGATCTGGTTTTCGCTGATTAGTCCTCTTGTCTATTTTCTGGTTTTCTCTCTTATGGTTCCATTTCTGATTTCTCTCTTCTTGTTTTGTTTCTGGTTTTCTCTTCTGGTTTTGTTTCTGGATTTCTCTTCTGGTTTCGTTTCTGATTTTTTTGTTTCTTAAGGCTGTGCCTTCGATCTGTGTCACAAAAATACATAGCCGTTATGTTATCGGTGGGGGAATAACCCGAGGGTTTTTTGAACCGGCGGGTCACCTATTTTTGAAAAACTCGGCTCGATCTCACCGAGTCAAACAGGTTCACATACAAATCCGATCCAATATGCTACTCGGACCGGTCACATGATCAATTTTGGGGTTGAACCGGCCGATCCGGTCTGATTTTTACAACACTTAGGTTTTTTTAGAAAATAATAATAATAATAGAGAAAGGCCAGAATGTTACATGAGCAATATATATCTTATAAGCTTTTTCTTTATAGGCCCAAAAAAATGAGCTAGAAAACGATTTAACGGATATGATTTTTTTTTCGTAAAACAACTAAAGAATAACGAAAAATATTAAAAAATTGCCAAATTTCCAACTTTTATACATAAGTTTTCGTACCAAATAACTTTTCTAGAAGAATAATGAACTTATGGTGTTAGTTTCACTAGGGCTGGCAATACGGGCTAGCCCTCCCCGGCTCGCCGTTGGCCCGTTCAAAATGGGTCGGACTAGCCCGCCCTGTTTTGATAAAATAAGCTGAACTTAACAATCCGTCCCGTTTTATGAATGAGTTAGTGGGTTGGGGGTCAGCCCGCTCTAAATAAAAAAAAGGAAAAAATCTGCATAAAAAACACATAAAAAATTGCATAAAAACACATAAAATTTAGGAATCAAATCATCGTACAAATTCTGCTTAAAACTGATTCTATAAGCCAATCCAAAAATTAAAAAAATAAAAATATTAATGCATGAAACCAATTATCAAGTTTAACTACAATATACACAAATGTCTAGGGGTGTTCATCAACCGATTCAAACCGCGGTGACCGAACCGAAAAATCGATAACCGAATAAACCGAAAATCGAAAAACTAAAAACCAAAAAAAACCCACAAATTTTAATTGGATTGGATCGGTTTTCGAATTGGTAGATGAAAACTGATCCAATATATTAATTTTTCTTTACTTACTTGGATTTTTCCCCAATCATAGCCCAAAAATTTCTAAACTCAAGACCCATTAACCCATGAACTAAACCCAAGAAAAAACTTAGTCACATCTCATCAACAAAATTTCATCAGCTTTATATCTCATTGTCCAAAAAAAAAAACTATATTATCGTTTACTGATACTTTTGTATTTAAAAAAAAAAATTTACAAAGCCAATATATACAAAAGATGTTATTTGCACAATAATCATTAAACAAATTTTAGGATTTTTAAAAAACCGAAAACCGATCCAATCCTAACCGAAAAAAATTGGATCAAATCGGATCGGATTAGAAAAAAAATTCAAACCGAATGGATGATTACATGATCAAACCGAAGAGATTGGATCAGATGAATTTTCCTTCCAAAACCGATCCAATTCAGACCGCGAACACCCCTACAAATGTCCATTCAAAATGGAAAAAACATCACAAATTCAAAATGCTTGCTTAATTCATTGCATTGAAAAAGCTCCAACAAAACATGAACTGCCATCGTCATCATTCATCAATCTTCACATCAGAGGCACCCTCATCTATATAAATAATAATTGAAAAAAGAAAATAAATAATTTTACAAACAAGTATGGTTCAATATAAAATGAATTCAAATTAAATAAATTACCATTCCGGAAAAACCATTCTGCCAATAACGGGTACAAAGCAAAGCTTCAACACATTAAGGTAAGAGACTACTTCTGTATTTATTAAGGATCAGTGACCCAATGCTGAATGCAGATTCAGATGCAACAGTGGTAATTGGAAGACGTTTAGCTTTACCCTTCCGCCATTGTAATATATTAAATGTATCATCATCAAACTCCAAATTCTCCTCTCCTAGATAAACATCAAGTTGAGATTTTCCAATCTTTGCTGCATTGAAGGGCTGATTGTGCTTTTTCAATTCCTAACCATATTTGACAAGTTAAACACATAAAAATATAAGTCTTAAAAATATACAATGTCAAGTAAATAAATTAACATTTCAAAAAAAAAAAAAAAAAACTTACTTCGAGCATGATTTCTGAAAATTCCTTCTTCTCTTTTGATATTGACCTACTTGAAGATACACTTGTAACTTTGATTTTGAGCATTTGAAGAGGGAGGAATGTTGAATGATTGTATGCATTTTTCTTTATTTCTTCTACTTTTGCTTCACTTGTCAATGGATTAACTGTTTCACGAAAGGCCATCTTAAATCGAATAGATTACCATAAAAAATATTTTTTTTAAAGAACAGATTCAGAAACCAATTCAAAACGGATTTGCATATTCGAAGTTAAGGATGTTGATCAACCAATCCAAACCGATTCAAACCGCGGTGACCGAATCGAAAAATCGTTAACCGAATAAATCGAAAACAGAAAAACTGAAAATCGAAACAAAATCATAAATTTTAATTGGATTGGATCGGTTTTCAGATTGGTTAATGAAAACCGATCTAATCCAAACCGATCCAATATATTAATTTTACATGGACCTTTCCTCAATCATAGTCCAAAAATTTCTAAACTTAAGGTTCATTAACCCATCAACTAAAACCAAAAAAAAACTTAGTCACATCTCATGAACAAAATTTCTTCTGTATAGAGCTTCATATCTTATCATTGCCAAAAAAAACTAAATTATCGTTTACCGTTATTTTTATATTTCAATTTTTTTTTTTTACAAAGCCAATATATACAAAAAAATATTATTTGCCCAATAATTATTAAACAAATTTTAATATTTTCAAAAAATCAAAAACCGATCCAATCCAAACCGAAAAAAAATTAGATTGAATCGGAACAGATTTGAAAAAAACCAAACCGAATGGATGATTACATGCTCAAATCGAAAGAATTAGATTGAATGATTTTTTTCTTTCAAAACCGATCAAATCCAAACAACGAACACCCCTACTCGAACCTATTCTAAAACATAAACCGATCTGAACCTATTCCGGAGCAACTCTAAAAAAAAAAAAAATTGGTTTAATTTGACCAAAATATAGATTCAGATTGGTCCATGCCAACCCTTAATCACCCTTCACTAGCTGTGCAAATAGGTGTGAGTCAGAAGACTTTACAACTTAGCCTTCTCTACAAAACCACCCAGGCCCACCCACCGTACATTAGACAGGAACAATGTATTATCACAAAAAGGAAATTAAATTGGCTAACTAATAACTTTAGCCATCGATGCAAATACCAATGCTTGCCCGACGGTCTAGTGTACACAATTTATATTATAATTTTTAAATTTTATTTAAATTTACTGAAAATATTGGAAGTATCGAACCATATGGGTCATTTAAATCAAGAACTGTTTCAGTTTCTCTTTGTAAATAATTGTTATAAAGATCACTGGCTGCTGTAATGAAGAGGAACGTAAAAAGAACCTGAAGCAGATTCAAGACAAAAAGTATTTAAAGCTGCCAGAAAGGGCCCTCCGCGTTTGGCGCAGGATGGACTTGTACATCTATTGTACCATCTATCGGGTTCCTCTTTTCGTATTAAATAAAGAATCTCTCAAACAGTTAAAATTTAAGAAGGAAAAAGGGGAAGATAAAAAGAGGGAGAAAACTAAGTTACAATAATTTACATGTTAGTCGTGTATAGATTAGCTTGCTATTGAGAACTGCTAAATGGTTCGCTCTCTTACACTACAAAACTTGGTAGTTGTAGCATTGGTGCCGGAAAATCTAACCTGCAACCCACATAAGTCCATTGTTAATGATGGTATACTTGTTTTGTGCAATATCAAGTATTCAGGACTTACAATGCACTACCATAGTGGAGATAGTGGTAATTGCAATACAATAATATGCAGCACCATTTGAATAGTCAACCCTTGATTGTAACTATTAAAGAATCAGTTTTTCTCCTGAATGTCATCAAGAAAAAAATTGAAATACTTAAAAGTAGCAATATTTGTTTTTGTAACATCCAGAAAGATACGATAGAATTTATATGCGTAGCAAGCAAAAACTATTAGTACTAGAATAAAAATGTGAATAACCAACAATTAGTTCACATTGATTTCAAGACAAGTGCAATCCAATTGGTTCTGAAGAATAGCATACTTCTTTGACATGGTAAACAACCAGATCTGGATATTAATGTGCTCCAGAAACATGACACAAGAACACAGTAAGCACAAATCAAGATCATTAAGACCCAGACTGCATAATAAACCATCTTTTATTTCCACCAAAACTCGCAGAATACGAAGATAAAGTAATTCACCTGACTAATGGTTTTCTGGATTCTCAGGGGCTGTACTGGTACTTGGCTTGCTAACATTTAGTTGATTCATTGCCTGATTCTACACATGGAAATGGACCTCATAAACGTTCACATCTTTGTGCTCAATTTATAAATTTAAAAAAGAAAAAAGAAAAAAAGATACCAAGTAACATTGCAAAACTGGAGTTCCTTAAAAGTTCTTTTGAGAGGTTTTTATTCCTCCCAGTTAAGAGGGAGCTAAAAGTAAAATCAGGATCAATACCAGAGGTATCATGAACATAAAATAACAATTTTTGCACAATATTTTTTTATGCCTTGTAAACCAGCATATTATTTCCACTGAATACCATCTCCAAATGCGCTGAAGTAAAATAATTTATATCGTGGGAGCAGGAAATCAAATGGACCTAAGGTGCATCGAGTTACTTCAGAGATTGTTCAAAAAAATCCAAATCAGAGACAACATTGGAGGACAAAATACCTGCATTAATTGAAACTGCATCTGGTGTGGACCAAGGTATTGTTGATAAGGATCGGTGAAGTTTGGGATACGTGACTGAGTCGGATCAGGTGTACCAACAGAGGTGAGCATATTATTATCTGACTGATTTGCTACTTGCATTCTAGATGAATCAGTCGCAGGAACATGCGGCATATGGAAAGGAGGCACAGGGAACCTTGGTCCCAAATGAGCAGCTGCAGTAGCTGCTGGCAAAGCCGAACCAGCTAACATATTGGGAAATGGAATTACTGGTCTGTTCATTCCCATTTCCATACCCATACCCATTCCAATCCCCATTCCAATTGTCGGCATATACTGCTGGATTCCAGGAAACATCATAGGTACCATGCCACATCCCATGGACATCATCTGCATACGTTGCACTCTCTGTTCGTGTCAGAAATGAAAGTATATGACCATGGAATGTAAATAACTTGATACACTTCATTGCATATGACCTTTGTACAGGTTATAAATACAGAGAGGACACTTCTAATAATGTGTGCACATCAATAATAAGATTATCCTTCATCTGAATAGCATAATGTATAATACAACATCTGTGGTCTGCCAACCTCCCTCTCACAATAAAAGGATCTAAAGTTTATTTTTAAAGAAAACTTATATTAAGCATGTAACAGCTTATTACATTGTCTTGCCATCCTTAACTTTCCTAAGTCCCTGTACCCTTACTCCTAAAACCTTTTGAAGCTCAAAACATTTGGAAATGGTGGATGCAGATAAATTATCCTATAATCAAGTAGACTGCTTCTGCAATGTTCCCTTACTAGATGTTGATACATGTTAACAAAGCATCTTGTTGAAAATACAATTTTTTGTATATGAGCTAAGCATAGGTTAATCTGCCTAAATAATTTATGAACACAAAGAATGTAGTGTACATGGAAATGAATTTACAACACAAACTGAAAAGTTAAGAATCACCCAAAAGAAGAAGAAGAAGAATGTACCTGCACTTGTAACTGCAGTGACTTCAAGTATTCAATTGCTTCATCCAGCATTGAAGCTTTGTCCGACTATGATTTCAGAATAGGAACCAAAATTAACAACAGAAATTAGGAAGGAAATAAAAATCTAAAACACTGCCTCTTATACTCCAAAGAAATAAAGAACTGAGAAATTTGAAAAATTATGTTTACCTTATTACTACGAGGTATAAGTTCTTGCAAAGCTCTCATCTTTTCATTAATCCGATCACGACGCCTCTGCAGGTAAATGCAAAGGGAAAATTTCATGTTATGAGAAAAACAGCATAAAAGATGCCAACTCAAAAGAGAAATGAATGTACAGACCCTTTCTGAGAGATTATGGACCTCAGCAGCACGGGATCTCTTTGTTGATGTTGATCCACGAATTTGTTTTTCTCCTTCCGCAGATTCAAAATCAACATCCTTTTACAGCAAGACAAATAGAAATAAGAATAGAGAAGAAGCAAATAATAGCAATTCAAATGAATTGCAGAAAATCAGTAAGAAACAAAATAATTGCTATTGAACTATTGATCTGGCTCATGCGTGTTCCAAAGTACATGTCAAGGAACCTTGCACAGAAAACAAGGGAAACATACTCATATACAACCCCCCACCCCACCCCCTGCTTTTTCTTGCCCAACCAAAACAATCTTCAGTTACATTACTAGAATATGCTACCTAGATGAGATCCAAAACTACTAAAGCACGTAAGTTATAAAGCAACAGATCACTACAGCCTCATGTCTTCTTCCCTAATGCTGAATAGATTGAATCACTTATCGTCTATTTATGTATCTAGGTATTAATTATTAACATTATTTACTTACCTCACCCATTTGGCCAAGACTATAATGTCCAAATTGATTCTAGTTCTCAGCTTAGGTGATCAATCATAGCAATTACCAAGAATTTACCAGTATTATTCACTATAGTCAGTAATTCTAGCCTCTAAACCTACTGATTTTCTGGCACATCGGGAAGTACCACTGCTTGAGCCAAGGATTTCTACCTAAATCCCTGTCCTTTTAAACTCCACAACTAAGCGCAACTAGCTAACCTTCATACTGTGCATCGAATGCTTGGCTTCCAATTTGTTCACACAGGATATCTTTTTTGGAAAAATATAAAATATTAGCGTCCTCGTGAAAGAAATTAGAACATGATTCTTGTCTAAGAAGACAAATTAAAAAAGGGAAAGCTTGACAATTTCATAGTTTTCCATAAACGTTTTAAAATGTAAGTCATGGATTAAAAACTAGCAAACACCTCACCATCATCAGGTCTAAAACCTTCATGGTGAATACCTGATATGGACATAAGCTTAGCTAATAACTGCATCCGTTATATTTGGATTACTCCGATTTTCTCCACAGAAACCGCTAGTCCACGTATCCCATAATAACTATGATCCTCTGGGGTCCAATAGCACTCAAATCTCCCCCTACCTCCACCCTTAACACTTCATGCCATATGTGCAAGGTGAGACTTTTTTTTTTTATACAATCACCGAGTTTCGAAGCTATGACCTCATACAAACTATTCAAACTCCTCGTCACTGTACCAATCCATCCTAGTGACTTAAGGTGAGACAATATTAAGTTTAAAGTAAATGCTCATTTTTGTGTTATATTTAAATTGATGCTTCGAATTCCTGAAATTTGAACTACGAAAGAAATGCATGGATTCATTGTCAATTTTCATTCCTCAAATATATTTGTTTTATACAACCACATCTACTCAAATATCAACGACTTAAACTAAGCGAAATAAAGGCTGCATTGTAAAGAAGCTAAATTTTAACAAAAAGTAACAAAAGAACGGCATCTGCTATCAAATACCGTGATACAGGCATTTGGTGCCACAAATAGCATTTGTCAATTTCAAGATAAGTAGCACACCTCCTTACCTTTTTGTACGGTGTTAGGATTATAGTTTACAACATTCCAAAGCCCAATTTATAGCTTGCAAATTAAGTTTCATCCACTATTTGAACATGATTTTGGGTCTTAAACCATGGCTGGAGTGATAGTGGAAAAAAGGTTGCTTTTCCATATAGTTAAGCCATGGTTTACAAATTAGAATCCAAACATAATAATAAGCCAATCGCTTGGGGTAACAATACTAATAAACTCTGCATTGTGGTTAACTTATTATTATGTTTTAAATAATTTTTAAATGGAATTTAAAAAACAACACATGAAATCAAATTTAAAAAATAAAACTACTTTTTTTTTCATTTTGATGCATTAGTGTATACTATCATTAAATCATGCATTGCCATATTATTAGTAGAATTTGACTCTAGCAATAACTAATTGAAAAGCTGCAATTTTTTAATAATTTGTAAACACATGGTTGAGTTATACTAGTGTAACTGTGTATCAAAATTAAATGCCGAACTTTGGTACTTATCTCCATCGGTAATTCCTCCAAAAACTAAATTCGAACAAATGCATTATGAGCCACTACAATCATCAACCTAATCGTTAAGACTTTAAATATGATTTAATTCGTTTCACCGAGTTAGCATTTCTCCTTCAAGAGAAAAAAAAAATAGTGATGTTTGAGTACTTCAAGAGCATCTTATTCTGTAAAATTAATAAGGGTACCACAAAAGATTTATATCCTCTCATGTAAACAAAATTAGTCATGTCATCATATTATTTGATGATAATCACTCATTAATAATAAGATAAAAAAATATATATTAAATGATTATGATCAAATATCAGGACTTAAATTCGTACCACCAATTATTAGAGTCTTTGGTATTTCTCAGTTCAACAAAAATTTTAATTTTTACTAGATTTTCACATTTTTAATTGACGTTGAACTTCAAAAAGAAAAAAGAGCCTCCGATTCTTTCAAGAACAAAAGTTCTGAATTTATCACCATAAACGTGGCGCAGCCATCTGCAGCCGCGACTTGTACAGTCATTTTTTTGAAACTGACGATACCACAAGGCACAACCACTGCACCGCAGCAGGGTGTGCTCACGTAAACCCACGTCACTCACTCTGCGCCATCGCATAGGGAATGTGCATTTGTAATTGTAATTTGATGTCTGAGAGAATAAAAAAAAATATGCTGAGTCAATTCACTCACCTCGCTCTGACACTCCCATTCCTCTGCTTCACGACCCTTCCGTTTCCGGTCCAGTGCCACCACCCTCTGAACCGGTTCACCACTGCTACTTGAACCGCCCGGAGATGACGTCATCGTCACATCGCACGTCATCGTACCCCTTCCTCCGCTGGCACACGTCGTCGAAGGCGCCGCTAAGCCTGCAGTATCTTCCGTGGGATTCGCCGAGCTTCTGACAGTCTCAGAACCTCTCGAAGCCTCCACCGCCGCCGTCGCGGCAGGTGTGTCGCACGAATCCACCATCGTTGATTCCCTCGCGGCGGTCTTCGAACTCGACGACGGCCCTAGCTCGGGTCTCGCATTGTGCTTCGAGAAGTACGCGAAGTTCGGCGTCTTCGCCGGCACCTTCTCCGGCCTCCTCGCCGGCGGAATCGGAGGCTTAGGAGGCACCGACCTCGGAGGCTGCCGGAGTTCCGTAGGTTGAGACGCACGCGCAGTTGTTTGCATGGCACTGTTGTTGTTGTTGTTAACAATCGGCGGCGGGTAGAAGAAATCGGCGCAGAAGCTTTGATCCAATGGAGGATCATCGTCGTCGATTGGATAGTGAAGCCAAGAATTCATTTCGCCTTCTTTCATGAAGAGATGTTGATCGTAGTTTTCTACTTCTTGTCGAATCTCCCTCGTCGTTGAGGGAATCGCATCGTCGGAGTTCCTCGGCGGCGGAAGTTTTTTCTGAGGACGGTGGTTCTGGCTCTGGATCACGACCTGGCCGTTTTGCCATAGCAGCTCCATGATCTCGTCGTCTGCACTGTTTCAATTTTCAACACTCTTGGTTAATTAATAAACACAAAAACAACAATTAATAATTGGTCACACCAGAGAGAAGAGAATGGGAAAGTTTTCTCACATGGAGGGTTTCTTTAGGCGAGGTAACCCTGAAGCCGAAGGCATGGATATTTGGTATTCTTCTTGGTCATCCATTTGGATTCCGAAATCCGGAACACAGTGATTCATATTGCTAAGCGAAAAAAAAAAAAAAAAAAACTCCTAGAAACGAAAGGAGAAGCAAATATCAAAATCCATCACGAAAAGAAATCTAAGCTAAAAGAAACAACTTACAGTCGTAGCTATAGCTGAGCATGGTGAGTGAGGAGTGGATATAAATCGAGGTTAATGGTGGTTGGGATTTTCTCTGTTTTTGGGTTTGCAGAAAAGAACTCGCGGTGTGTTTGGCTGGTAGCTGGTGTTCCTCATCTTTGGCTTTTGAAAGGAGAGAGCAGCCACAACCTAAATATACCCAGAGATAAGATGTCTCTCTCCGAATAATGCAAAGCTAAAAGACGAAAAGGATTTTTGACGGTTTGCATTAAATTCACATCTCTTCTCCTTTATTTTTTTTCTTTTCTTTCTTTTTCCTTACTTTCTTTTTCCTTACTTTCTTTCTTCTCTCCTTTTAAGATAAATTTTGTCCGTTTCAATTCTAATTACATCAGGTTGTTTTAGTATGTAAGTAAGTGTTTCTTAATCATATGAAATTTTTCTAACTTCTTTAGATGCGAAATTAGTTTTTATTTAGATTATTTAACTTGTTTATCTACGTTAGTATTTTCTGCAAACTTTTTAAAAGCATGCAGGTTTATTTGAAATTATTGTTTACGGTATGCATAAAAATCTCTTTTTAAAAGGTTAAATCCTTTTCGACGAGGAAGAGTTTACTCAAAGCAATAATAGTCTTTTTGTAGCCTGTGAAGATAATTATTCCAAAAAGAGAAACAAAAGACGAACTAGTAAAGTAATAATTAATCTAATCCAATGTTTAATGTGTTGTGTTTAACTTAATTTAATACGAACTATGGGGACAGATAAGAATAGATTCTGGAGTGCGTGCTATGTGGCACGAATTATTAGGCAGGAGCCCACATCCTTATTCGTATCGTACCTATTAACAATTTTATTTTTATGTTTTCTATATATAAGGGTGAGAATTGAATATATAACATAATATATATTATCCAAATCTCCTCATTATTATACTAAATGTAGTGGCTTAACAACTTTTTAATTTGGTGATAGAATATTATTCTATCTTTTTTGGGAAAAGTGTCTATACATTTAAATTACACAACTTACATCCTTTCACTCTCACAAAGAGGTGGGACCCACAACTTTATTTTTTTTGTCAACTCTCTCTCTTCCTTTATCTATCTCTTTCTCTCTCTTAAAATGACACAACTTTACATCCTTCAAAATTATACACACTTTTCCCATCTTTTTTTTATATTTAGCTTACCTATCAATTTCTAACCTCCTTAAATCAGAATATCAAGAGTAGAGAAATAATAAATGTTAGTTACAATTTTAACCTAATGATATTAGAGAAAAATATGTAGAGTAAACATCAAAAAAATTAGGTAGGATAACATATCCCTAAAAGAATAAATAAAATATGAAAAAAATATTTTTATTGTCACAACAGATAATATTATCTCGAACAATCCCAAAATGATATCATTTTGGGGTTTAAGATTAAAATTAAAAGATATTTTAAAAAGTTTACTTTTTTCTTGTATCACTGATTTTATTAAAATATTCTTTATTTTTAATTTTAATTTCAAAACGACATGGTTTTGAATTTGCATAAGATAAAGTTATTTTCTATAATAGGAGAAATGTTAAACTCATAAGATATACTAAAAATATTTAGTATTTTAAAATAATTAATTTTAAATATTCTATAACATATTTTTTTTTTTTAAATATTTTAATCGGTTAATTATTTTGTGACTAATTTGATGAGAGGCGGGTCTGGTTTTTTTTTATATAACAAATATTTTTAAAACACTAGTTAGTAAATTATTTTTTTATAGCTCAAGTTTTAAATCAACGATTCAGTAGTTTCCTCGTATGGCATACATTTAAACCTGCGCAAGTACCGGGTGGTATGCTTTTTAAGCTTTTGAGAGAATCTCGTCATCAGAATTTTAAGAGTAGCGGCTGACATAAATGGAAAACTCTCCGCAATGGATCGATTGTGATAGTAGTGTAGCCAACTTCAGTTTGGGCTCACATTAAAATGGAAAGCTTTCTCCTAATCATTTATGAACCTACCTTTGAATAAATAAAGAAAAATATTATAATCGTAGTATTTCTTTATAAAATTTTAATTTACATTATCATTTTCTCTAAAATAATAATTCATATCAAAGATAGCAGGATTAAAATATAAATATACAAAAAGAGGTTATTTATATAAAAAACAGAAAATTATAAATGTAATATAGTATGTATTTAAGCATTTACCACTGCATAATAAGAAATATTTACAATGTTATAATTTTTTATATCTTTTATATTTATATTCAAATTATAACATCATTTGAGAATAAATATAATTGTGACCAAATGAAAAAAAAATTCTTTGTAATAGTATCTCTCTATATATAAATTTAGGGTTTGTCCTTTTAAAGTACATGGAGTTATGTTATTTTAAATGAGAGAAAGATAAAAGAAAATGAAAATCATAAAATAGAAAGTGGATTATTTTTAAAAATTTAAATTTAAAATAAAAAATACTAAATTTAAAATACAGAAGATTATTTTCAAAAATTTATTGAGGTAGATATGTAAGAGGCGTTATTTAAACTTAATCTGTAATTGGTCAACACTCAATCTAATACAAGGTTATTGCAAGAGCAAATTATGTTTTGTAGTATGAGATATGTTTCAAAGTTAGTTTGTGCTTTTGTTATAGCATATTAATTATTTTGACTTTTCGTTCAATATATTATTCAAATTGTATGAGGATCGGTACTTCTATTTGCCCAAAGACACTCAATAGTCATAAAAAAAGTTTATTTTTTCCTATTGAGTATGTCCATTAGAATTTGGGATTATTTTTATGTATAAAATTTCGAATTTAATTAATAAATTATTATTTTTAACGCAGGGCATGAGCAATGTTGTTAAAATTGAGATTTTACTTAAGATCGAAAAGAGATAAAAAAATCGTAAATCGTAAAATCGACATGGATAAGATCGTACTTGTTCATATAAAATATATTTAAATTAATATAATCATATAAATATATTTAAATTAACACCATAATTAACACCATAATTATATTTGTTATTATATAAATATATAATAACAAATAAAAATAATATTTAAATCAGTATTAAAATTAATTAAAAAAATTAATTTATAATTAAATGATTTAACATTAAGTTTTTTAATTTTTATTTTTGGTAAATTCATTCAGTTTTTATTTAGGGAATTCATTTATCAGAAAAATATTTCTACATTACAGCAAATAAGTTATCCGTATTTACCTTCAAAACGACGTCATTTTGATGTTGAAATATTAAAAAATTATAATTATAAAGACTATTATAATCCTGAAATAAATTAAAATTAAAAAAATACCTTGATTTCCGCTCCCAAAACGATATCATTTTGGGTTCAATGCAGATAACTTATCTATATTTACTGTAAAAAAAATGAACCCTTCATTTATATAATATTGTATTATGGAATCAACATAACATTGAAAAGCGTGAAATTACAAAACTGAAAATTTAAATGATAAAGAAAAAGGAGAATGCGATAAGAATTATGTGGTGAATTAAAAATTAGAACTAAAGCAATTGTATCTCTTCTTTTCTCTCTCTTTTAACAGCTCAAGTAATGAAAATCCAACCCTCTGTCTTATTCTCTCTCTTCAATGGTCGATTGTAGCGACAGAACACTAGTGTCCTCTTCATCTCTTATTTGATCTTCGACAACGACGACAACCACAGCTCACTCCCCCCCCCCCCTTTTTTTGTCTTTCAGACTAACCTTTCTCGGACGTATGGGTATTTCTGTGAATCACCCAAAATGGATGGATTGCACAATTTCACGTTTTTACAAGTTTAAACATCGATCCTAGACAATCTCATTCCTTCACGATCCTGCAACCAAGTTGGCGCGTCCATGGTAAAAAAATTGTACAATCGTACGATCCCACGAGTTAAAACGCGATTTTAACAACATTGGGTATGAGTTTTACATCTCATTTTGGATTTTAGTTTTCCTTCGAAAATGATGCAACATCGTTATCAACGGGAAATGTAAGTATAGCATAAAACAGTAGTAACCTTATTCATTCAAGGGCATGGGTGTCGATTGAAAGTTGCCTTTATAAGTCATGAACAAGAAAGAGAAAAACAAAATCATGCGCAAAAAATAATCTTTGTCCACCCTCACACATGTTCTACCTAAATACATGCAATAGACATGTTAGGGATTAAAGATGATATCTTTATTCGAATTAAAACTCCAGATCAAATGCATTTTTTATCACTACTTGAGACTTGAAAACACAAGACCTCCGATGAAAGTTCACACCAATTTGTCATCTTGTAGGAGAAGAATGATTCTTCAACACCCAAGATCCTTCAAGAGAGATAGTTAAAACTCGAGAGAAGGAGCAAGGGAGAGTGGTGGTTGTGGGGACTCCAAGAGAGAGAGAAAGAAAACGCCATACATGTATGTATTACGGCTAGAGTTTTTTGGTGGATGAAAAATAAGAGAAGTATGCAACAAAAATAAGACACAACAAGATAAGGATTGCATGAGTGAGATATCATATGCTTCGGCTATCAGATCCATCATATATATCATGATTTGTACGAAACCATATGTCACATATGCTTTAAGCATAACGAGTAGGTACTAGGTAGACCCTGGAGAGGGTCACTAGACAGCAGTTAAAACCATCCTCAAATACTTAAGAAAGACTAAGGATGTGTTTCTGATTCGAGATTGTAGCGGGAAATGGATTGTGGGGGTTCTCAAAGTTATTGGGATATGGTAACTCGCTCAACACTGAAGTTTAGGGGGGCTATTTTGACCTTCAGACAGCTTGGGAATGTTGGTTCAAAAGGATCTGTCTGGAGGCAGATTCAAGTGTGGCTAAAGACATGATTCTGAAAGGATGCCAAAGACAACACCTTTTTAATAAACTGGTGCATCGCATTAGGAACCTGATTAACAGAGATTGGGAAGTCTAGATTTCCCATACTTATAGAGAGGCCCAAGGAGGGGTAGATTGGCTAGCAACACATGCCTATATCTCTAATTGGGACCTGCAAATTTTTACAAATCCCCCACCAAGATGTGAGGAGAGGGTAGCCTGTTGGGGTGTTCATCAACCAATCCAAATCGATTCAAACCGCGGTGATCGAACCGAAAAATCGATAACTGAAAAGCAAAATATCGAGAGAGAAAAAC